TCTCTCTCTCTCTCTCTCTCTCCTCTCTAACTCTCTCTTTAAAAAACAAAAATAAATAAATAATAAAAAATGTAGTGAGACCTTGTCTCAAAAGTAAAAAATACATCAAGGGCTGGATGTGGCTCAATGGTTAAGTGCCCCTAGGTTTAAATGCTTCTTACCCTCTCCTCAGAAAGACCCCTTTGGCTGACCTTGGCAGTGAATCAGAGGAAGACACAAACCAAACTTTTTGTATTGCCCTCCCCACCCCCATCTCCATCTGCTGCTAGTCTCACATGTGAATCTCAAGTTTTTGGCTGGCTCCCCATGGTTTTGGGATAGAATACAGTTTTTAGCAAGGCATACAAGCTTTTCTCTATTTCTGTCTCTCCTTTGCATTACCAGTCTTCCTTCACAGCTGCACTCTGGCCAATTGAGTTGCCATTCATTCCCGAATGACCTGTGCACATGCTTGCCTCTCACTATACCTGTAGTTCTCTGTGCCTCACTATCCTTCTAGGTCAGATGTTTCCCTCTCTTCCACACTCCCAACCCCACCAACTTGTGTAGTTTGTCATTGCACAGTTGTTTCTGGCCCCTCTCTCCTGCCAGCCTGTTAGCTCCTTGGGGGTATAGTATGTCTCTCATCTTGACCACAGTGCTCTGCATAGAATATGTGCTAATGTGTGGATAAATGAATGCACAAATAATGCATGAGGTGCCATTGATCATGTAAGAGTTTTTCCCAAGTATCCTCTTTTTTTCTGGGAGTTTGGATGGTACTAATCCAGGACATAGATTGTTTTGTTTTGTGTTACCTTGCCTTCCATACATAGAAAATGTTTAGAGTTACTGCACTCTTTGGATTATGTGGCTGTTTCTGAAAGACATTGGTGTTTATTCTCTTAAGTGTATTTAATGCAAGGTCAACAGAATGTTTCTAGGCCTTTTAGAAAATGACTTGAGTGCCAGGGTGGAAAGATTGGGTTTATTCCAGGTAGAAATTTAATGATCTCTTTATTTCCTTTCCAGAATAGGATCTTTCCTTGACCCTGGGGCCAAGCACAGGTAGAAAGTCAAGGGTCAGCATTCTTTCCTCTCTTACTGTTCTAACTTGCCCTGCTTTTGAAGGCAGAGTTTGAAGACAGGTCCAAAAAGTAGTAAGAGCACGGTTTGATTGCCTTTAAAAACCTTTAGCTAACAATCTGAATGGCATAGTTTATATATCCCACAAGCACATTTGTTCTATTTTAGGAAAAGATAAAAATATTATTTATTGTGGGTTTTTTTCTTTTTAGAAAGTAGTACATACAGAATGGCAAAATGTTAATTGTTGAAGTTGGAAGACAGGTTCCTGGGGATTCATTAAACTTTTGGTTCTACTTTTGTTTATGTTTCAAAGTATCATAATAAAAAGTAAAAATAAAAGCAATGTATCAATACAATAGAAAGTTTTAAAAGTGCACAAAGACAAAGAGGAAAAATAAAGAACTCATAAGCTTGCCTGTTATAATGACATTTGGTGAATAAATCTAATTTTTCCTCTGTATGGGTAGGAGTATGTGTACCCATGTATTCATACACACACACACACACACACACACACAATGTTCTGATTATCACTAAAAAAAAAGTTCCCCCAAACTCTGTGGCATATAGCAAGCACCATTTTGTTATGCTTAAGGATTCTAATGCTCATAAATTGAAAAAAGACATAATAAGAATGGCTGGTTACTGCTCCATGATTACTGGAGCCTCAACTGGGAAGATTCAAATGGCAAAAGTTAAGAATCATATACAAGTTTCTTCACATGCCTCTGGTTCATTGATTGACATGACTAAAACACTGGGCTCAACTGGGAGTGTTAACCAGAGAGTGTCAGTTTATGGCCATGGTGCAAGACCACACATGAACTTCCTCACAGCATGGTGGTCTCAGGATTATCAGATATCAGGGCTTCAAAATTAAGTTTTCCAGTAAACAAGACAGAAGATGTGTGGCTCTTCATGTAGCCCAGGAGTTACCTGGTGTCACTTTCACTGTGCTCTTGTGGTTAAAGTGGAAAAAGCAGTCAATATCCCACCCAGAATCAAGGAGAGGGAACATTGGCCAATTCTCTCAATGAAGGAGGATCAAAGAATTTGAAGCCATATTTTAATGGCCTCCTCTACATTCATATGTCTTTCTCCCCCAAAATTTTGGATCTTGGATACATACAGATTCTTAAGTCAGTGTCTATTTTGCTACTGATATATCAGTGAAATGATAGCCTTT